AAGGTGGCCCCCCCCCCAAGGAAAGCAGGAGAAATCATCCCATAAAAAGGAGCTACACAAAATAAAGGTACATCATGTATTAAAAGATTTTAGTAGAAATCTGAATTTTTATAGCAAAAATACCATGATGCATTTTTCAACATCTTGGAAAAAGTGTTTTTTTTTTTCCCCCCTCCACTAAAAGCTAATGAAGTAATAAAAATGCAGATAAAACACTGAGGAGGGAACCCCTAAGGGGAGACAAAGTTCCCAGAAGCAAAGATGGTATTAGCCCCATTGAACAAGAAACTATATGTAATATTTTAAAAGAAAATTAGAATATTTAAACAATAACCAAGGAAAACAATTCTGAGTATTTGCTAAGTAAAAATTATCCTCAGGTTAATTATTAAATAATATTAATTACTAATTAACATTATTTTTAATATTTGTTTTATATTTATAATGTAGTAATAATTGCTATTAATTAATACTTGAAATTGTTGACATCATTAACCTGAAACATTTAGTGTGCTCATCATCCCCAGTCAGGACAGTATTAAGGTCCAATCAACTGAAAAATTGTTATTTTTATTTCTACTGCGGTAGGTTGCGGATACTAATTTTCAGGCCTGCTATCAGTACCTTGTAGACTGTGCTGGGCTGCTTAGCCTGTTGTGTGCTGGATCCTCTGCTTCTCCTAGTTACGTAAAGGGAAGGCATCGCTGGCTTTGACATTAGAATAGCAAGTCATGCTCAAGCAGAGGTGATCTTTCTCGCCACTTGAGCTGTAACAGGAAACGTGCAATTAGACTCGATTTTATGGGTTTTTTCCAGCTGTACCTAAGTATTGATCCTAGCGATTAAAAGATGATCATGCAAGGTCTCCAGTATAATTTTGAAAGGTATTTCAGTGAGTGAGCGACCAAGTCCTGATTGTATCATCTTGACTGCTTTAAGACAGCCCTCCACTTGTGTAAATTGTTGAAGTGCTATTGCAAATGATTATAACCATTCATTTAATTGAGAAAATAGTTTAAGATGTAGGTTCAAACTGTTAAAAATAATTCAAGCAAAACAAGCAGGGAAGGGGTAGGGAATGAGTCAGAGAGCATCTTGGCTGCCAGAGGCAAGGGGAAATGTGTCTGTTTCTGCCACCAGGTACACAGTATCATACAGAGAGGAAAACAATTCCTCTAGGAGGGCGCTGAGCAGAGGATTTGACTTATCCTGCCTATGTTAGTAGTCAGGTAGCAGTTAAGCACAAGTCCTTTTGTAGCTCCAGCCCTTGAGCCTTACTTTAACTTTTGTTTAAGACACGATTAGGCCACATCTCAAATAAAAACAGCAACGGTCCTCTGAAGTTTGGCCTCTCTTTCCCAAAAGCCCTATGTCCAACAAAGGAATGCTGCAGGTAGCCAAACAGAAACTTAGTGTCACATACTGATACGTGATAAAGCTCTACTGTCCTTTACAGCAGGTGCCTATAGTGTGCTTGAAGACGTGTGCAAATTTAATTAAGGAACTCGGGTTTCCCTAAATTATTTTTTTCTGACATATACACCCATATACAGTTGTGTGGTAATAGAAAACTTCTCAGTGTGTGTATTGCCCACCTCCCCCCCCAAATTTCACAGGAGCAAGAATGCACTGCTTTCATTCTGCATCTCCATATAGTTTGAATATGCCCCTCGCTCTCTCGCGTGCGTGCTCACTCTCTCGCTCTCTCTCTCTCTCTTTCTATATATATATGCACACATATAAATAAAGAAAGTTTTAAAAAGTGGACTCATTTCTCATAATCCTGCACCTGCCATAGTCATCATGAGCCCAGCAGAACAAGGCTTAAAGGGGAGACTTTGGAAACCTCCAAAAGTCAACTAGAATTTTCTGTAACATTGTTAACTGTAGTGAGATTTTTTTTTTTTTTGCAGTAGATGCCATCATTTATGCAGAGCCATGTTTTAAAATAGATGTTGTGTTAAAAATATCAGTTGTGCTCCTAACAAACAGACATCTGCATTATATCAACCACCATCATATCTGCTGCTAATTGGCTTCCTTGTTGACAAGTCCCAGCAGCAAGGTTAAGTATGGGCTGTAAAAGCAATGTAGCCTCTTGCCCGAGGGGGCAGAGCTCAGGCAGACTGTGCAGGAGCCTGCACAGCCTCGTCTGCGCTATGTATTTTCTAAGCGCTAATAAAGCTTCTAACCAGAGGGCTGCCAGCCACTACAGTGGTCTGTGGACTTGCGGTAAGTGGCATGTCACCTGCTCATCACAGCTGCACTCAAGCAGTCTGCAAGGGACATTGCATGGTCTTTTCCTCTGAAGTTTTAGAAACTGCCAGATAAGCAAAGACTTCCAAAAGCAACAGCTAATCTTGCTGTGGGGAGGCTGAGGCCTGAGCGCCCAGCGTAAGCCCCTGGAAAAGGGATTGAGGTGGGTTTTGTGCCTTGAGTTCACACCCCTGAAAGATGGGTGGTTTTTTTTTTTTAAGGCAACTCATCTTCAATGGCTAAATCTATTACTTCCTTTTTTAAAAAAATCCTGTCCTCAATCACCACCTGGACCTAAAATCCTGATGGGAAGTTTGAAGCATCCAGCTGCCAGGTTCGCCAGGAGAGCATGTCAGTTGGAGTACAGCACTTTTGGCATACAGCCAGCCAGGACTGCTCAGAAATCACAAATGTTTTGACAAATCTAGGCTGAGTTAATAGGTTACGTTTGAAACAAAAACCAGAATTTACTTGGCTTGTGGTCTTGCTGTATAGCTCTTGGGAAAATGACGCTATGTATACTAGGCCAACATCCAGATGTTGGATATCAGGCAACACATCAGAAATGCAGCTGTTGTGCTTCCACATGTGCACAACAGCTGTCTTTTAAGACCCTGGATGTGGATATTTTACACGTATGACTCTCATGAGCACCCACCACTCAAAAAAAGGCTGCCTGATAATATATGGCAGGAACAGAGAAGTAGCGAGAGTGGGAAACCAATTGGAAATGTTTTATTAAATTTAAAAAACCTGTGCAATGGAAAAGCAGGAAGTGATAATCTGGCTTGGGAAGAGCATTTCTTTGCAGCCTTGTGCATCTGTGTGAACTATTTGCAGTCTATCTTAAGATGCTTTGGGTTTGGGGGGGGGGGGGGGGGGGGGGGAAGAGTTTCCATGCTAGATTTTGTAATTGCTCCGTTTCCCTCCCCCTCAATTGCATTTAAAATAAAACATATGGCACAACTCTAAAAAGAAAACAGTTTTCAAATTTAGGATAGTGTTACTTAAAAAGACCTTCTGATTTCCTGTATTATCCTCTGTTGTATGCATCTATTTCTGTTCTGCTCTACTTCACTTTTTGAATCTCTAATTTCTATCACATACCTTCTTTTCCAGCTCTTCTCAGACAATGTTTCATTGGAAGTGTAAATTTTGGATTGTTACTCTTCTGGGAAGGTGTCTGTTTAAATAAAGAACAGAAGAATGCTTTCTGTCACTGAGCTCCTAAAACCTCATGCCAATGCTCTCAGTATGGTCTAATGTGACTCAAACCAAAAACAGGCCTCGCTGGCTCACTGGCCAATAAATATCAAAGGCTTTCCTGATTCTTTACCTACTGTTTAAGACAGAAATTGTCATTCACAGACTAGATCAAGGAATTTGTTTTGTAACAGGTTTAACAGGAAGCCAGTCGGGAGAGTCAAAGATGTAACTAACGTGATCGCTCATAGTTAACTAGGACTTTAGACCCTATTTATGAATGACTACATGAACCTATATTATGAATGAATATGAACACATTTTCTCCTTCTTGCTCTCACCACTGCTGTCATAGCACAATTACCGCAAATAACCACCCAAGCCTGATCCAGATCCTGTTCAGGAGAGGCCTGCCGTTACCACCTGCCCACCCTGCTGCTGCAGCGCCCCAGCCAGCCCAGCCCAGCACGTGCACGGCCCAGTGTGGTGCTATAGAGGCAGCCCTCAGCACCCCGGTGCAGGCAACTGCTGCTTCAGGAGACAGCAAAAAGTCATTTGGTTCCCTTGTAGGAATAAATTCTCTAAAATTGTATGAGTATATTAATGCAAAATTTCTTGCTAGGACCAGCAAAATAAATTATTAGAAACTATACGTCTTGCATTTCTTGTATTGTAGGGCTTACCATTTTCCTGACATCTAGACACACTGGTACACAGCATACACTGCCTTACATTACAGTTGGAAGCAGGAGATGTTTCAGAAAAAATAAAAAAAAAAAAATCACAGCACTTTTTTTCCTGAAATTGAGGGAAAAAAAAATTAAATGGCATGGAAATGTAAGTACAGATAAATAGTTGCAGGACTGCTCGCTCCATCAGCGTGATGCTGATATAATACTATGCATATATTGATGCCTGTCACTCATGCCAATGACACTTTTTAAATGTAACTGGATAGCTCCATTTTCTTGTGTTACCAGTGAGGTCTGTTTGCACTCTGAATATTTAGTGAGCAAGCTCTAGGACTTCATGTTTTTGTATCTAGCTACCTATTTTTAATGGGACTGCATACCTAGAACTTAATGGACA